TTTAAAGTAAGGAAAGGAACACAAAGGCAACCAACAAGCTTTGTATGTAAGTTTTGGGAGCTATATCTACTTGTCTGTTTTGACGTATATTTAATCTATCTGTCTCTTAATCTACATTTAAGAAGAAGAAGAAGAAAAAAAAAGAAGGGGGAGAAAGGGAAGGAGACGAAGGGGAAGGAGAAGAAGGAGAAAATTACAGGAAAAAGAAAAGAAAAAATAAGAAAACGAAGAATAAAGGAGGGAGGAAGAGGAAAAAATAAAAAAAAGAGAAAGAGAATGAAAACAAAAAGAACGAGAACAAGAAGCAGAAGAACAAGAAAACAACAACAACAACAAAAAAAAACGAGAAACAAATGCACAAAACTAAACCTATCCTAACGAAAAAAGGGAAGCAAGAACACGCACAATCATTTACAAGAACCTTAAGCATCGATCACGGACGAGACGAGACGGAAAAAATAGTCTGGCGGAAGAGAGTCAGGATATGAAATCAGTTCTTGCAAAGATGTTGTTTCCGGCCATGCGCACTCGCGTTTACAATGGCCGGCCGGCGGAGGCAGCTCCAGGCGCCGGCGACGAGGCGGGGAAGCGGTTTGTGTGGGGGGGAAGGAGGGGGGGAGGGGGTATAGGAGGGGGGAAGTGTGGGGGGGGGGTGTTGGGGGGTGAGGCGAAGCGGGGTTGGATGTGTGTTTGTGTGTGTGTATGTGTGTTTGTGGGTGTGGGTGTGTGTGAACGTATGTATGTATGTGTGTGTGTTTCTGCGTTTGGCTGTTTGTGTCTTTTGTTTTTCTTTCTTTCTTTTGCCTTTTTTCTTCTCTTTTTTTTCCTGTTCATCTCCATCTCCATCTTTTTCTTCTTCCTCCCTCTTCCTCCTCTTCTTCCTTCTCTTTCTCCCTCTCTTATTATTATCATTATCGTTATTATCGTTGTCATCATCATTTTTATCTATTCCCTATTCTTCTTCCCCTTCTTCTCCTTCCTCTTATTACTCTCTATATTCTTCTTTTCTATTTCCTCCTCATCTTCCTATCCATCCTATTATCATTACCTATCGTCCTATTCTCTTCCTTTTCCAATTATTCTTATTATTTTTCTTTCTCCTCCTCTTCTTCTTCTTCATCTTTTTATTTCTCTTCCTTTATTACTCCTTAGCATTTTCTTCTTCCTTTCTCTCTCCTCATCTTCATCATCATCTTCTATTTCTTTTTTTTCTTCTTCTTCATCTTATTCTTCTTCATTTCCTCCTCCTCCTCCTCATTCTTCTTTTTCTTCTTTTTCTTCTCTTCCTCCTCCTTATTCTTCTCTTCTTCTTCCTTATTCTACTATTTCTCCCTCATCTCCTCCTCTTCCTCCTTCGTACTGATCTCCCATTTTCTCTCGTATATCATCTCCTCGCAGTAACAAGAGTAAAGGAAAATGGAAACAAGCACGGGTATACACCTCGCATTTCACAAACAAACGAAACAACAAAAACAACAAAAAAACAACATAAGCAACAAAGACAACATAAATAACATAAGCAACAAAGACAACATAAACAACAAAAACAACATAAACATAAAAACAACATAAGCAACAAAGACAACAAACAACAGAAGCAACAAAAACAACATAAGCAACAAAAACAACAGAAACAACAAAAACATAAGCAACAAAGACAACATAAACAACAGAAGCAACAAAAACAACATAAGCAACAAAAACAACAGAAACAACAAAAACATAAGCAACAAAGACAACATAAACAACAGAAGCAACAAAAACAACAGAAGCAACAAAGACAACATAGACAACAGAAGCAGCAAAAACAACATAAGCAACAAAAACAACATTTTTCTCTTGCTTAAACTCCTTCGTAATGTCTGGCGAGAAAAGTTCGTTTTTAGATGATTTGCAATGCTATTGATTTTTTTTTTTATATATTATTTCATTTATTTTTTCGCTAAGAAACATCTTAAAGCCAAGATGGTCTAGAATCTCGGTATGTTTTAGGAGAAATTAAGTCAAATATTTTTTTTTTTTTTGGGGGGGGGGATTAGCGAAATAAATCTTTATCCGAGATACTGATGTAGGGAAATAATCCCACTTTTTGATGAATTAATTGAGGAAAGAATTAATTTCACGAGAAATTGATTTTGGAATCAATGTATCTCCTTTGTCTTGGTAAGCTTTCGGATGTCTTGCTGTGGGAAGCTGTCAAAACAGGATTAAAATGTAAATAATGATTTATAACACGGAAAAAAAATATCATTGAGCATATCATGTGTCGCGTTACTGGTGTATATTGGTCTTTTTTGTTTTAAAAGCCAAAAGAATTGTTGTTTTCTCTGTCGAAATACGAATTTTCTTCTGTTGAAATTCCATAAAAAAACGTGTTCTTTCTATCCATCTATTTTTCGTATACTTTTAAGTACTGATAAAAATATAGAATTAAAAGAATCATATACAGAATGCATATGCAAAATTCAAAACTCGAAAATGAAAAATGCAACTGCCTTCC